CACTCACTGGTGTACTGCACCGGCAGGACGGGGCTCCGAGTCACTGACTGATTCAGTGAACGAATCTTTTGAACGAATCGTTTTTTTTGAACGAAACAGATTCTAAAGATTCAGTCAAAAGAACTGATCTTCCATCACTTCATTTTACCCGCACATGTCCTCATTTTTGGAGGCTGTTTATAAAATCCTTCAAAGGTCTGCGGTTTTGTACGAGAGCTTCGATTTTGTGTCACGTGGACTTAATGAGTCAGAGGCGCATAGAAGACGATCGACCCGACGTGAAAAACTCCGTGACTCCGCCCCCACGCCGTCGTGTCTTTCAGAGTGGAGTGTGATTTTTGATTTCGTGATTTTCTCGTTGTCTTCTCCACAGACGGTCAGCAAATACAACTCTCAGTACCACAAACTGTTCCAGACCGTCCCCAAAGAGGAGATCCTGATGAAAGGTGAGTCCACCTGCTCGGTCCAGATCCTGTGAAGACCTCCGTGTGGCGGTCCGCAGTAAAAGTCTCCTCCTCTTCTTCAGTGTACTCCTGCGCTCTGCTGAGAGACATCCTGCTGCAGGGACGCCTCTACATCTCCAGAAACTGGCTTTGTTTCTACGCCAACCTGTTCGGGAAAGACATCAAGGTGAGAGAAGGAGCTCCGCCCACCGCCGCGCTCTCCTGGACTCACAAACTCACAAAAACAGCTGATGTAGAGTTCGGATCAGTTTGTGTAGAAATGAGAGAAGAGTTCGATCCCGAGGTCGGCGACTCGTCCTCTCGTGTAAAGGACCGGGTCATGTGACCATCAGCTGTGAGAGGAGAAGGTCGACGACCTCGTTACATACATGATCCTGGTGTGACTCGCCGTGTGTGTGTGTGTGTGTGTGTGTGTGTGTGTGTGTGTGTGTGTGTTCAGTCTAGACTCGTGTTTGTTCAGTCAGAGCAGAGTCCAGGTCAAAGGTCATCACAGGAAGTGTCTGCTCTGCTCTTTCACAATAAAAGCCTCTCTCTCTGCTCAGGTGTGTCTCCCTGTGGTGTCGGTCCGGCTGGTGAAGAAACACAAGACGGCGGGTTTGGTGCCGAACGGGCTCGCCATCACCATCGATACGGGACAGAAGGTACCGGAACCGACTAGAACCACTGGATTCAGGGTTTAGGATGTTTCCATGGTAACCTGGTGTGTGTGTGTGTGTGTGTGTGTGTGTGTGTGTGTGCAGTACGTGTTCGTGTCTCTGCTGTCCAGGGACAGTGTGTACGACGTCCTGAGGAGGATCTGCACACACCTGCAGGTCTGTGGATCATGGATCAGTTTCCCTGAAGGTCCGGGTAAAGGGGGCGGTTCTGATCCGGACTCTTCTGTCTGTCTGTCTGTCTGCAGGTGAACGGGAAGATTCTGAGTCTGAAGCAGTACCTGGAGGAGCCCAGCTCTCTCTCCATGGTAGGTCTGGACCAGGTCCTCCTCAGGGTTCAGGTTTATCACATTCAGGTAGAAGTTCAGACCCTCACAGACCCTCACCTACTCTCTTCCAGCAGCCGCTTGTGGGAGGAGCCCAGGCAGAACCAGAACCAACATCAGGAGAGTCTGACCTGGACTAAGGAAGACCTGGACTCGAGACCTTCATAGAGATCTAGATTTCCATTTCCAGCAGGACCAGAACTCGGTCTTAGTGGTTTTATTGCGATGAGATCCACGTCAGAGAGGCTCAGGGTGTGAATGAAAAGACTCCACAGAACCTGGACTCCTCAAATCCACTTCTTATGGCTCTTTGTAAATATTTTGGTTCTTTAATTTTGTTTATTTAGTCAAATATTAAAAAATAAAAACAGTTTTTTTTTTTTTCTACGAGCAGAAAATCGGATTATTTCAGAAACGCTCTCCGGGTTTGATCCGAGTCAGAGAAACGGGCTTACAGAAATACCAGGAGCTGTTGTTTTGGTCCTGTGTTTGACCTTTAGTGACCCCTTCATGCTCCGTGAATAAGAGGCTTTGACCGCGGTGCGTTCAGGTCCGCTCTGAACGCTGTAAATCTGAAATACAGGCAGAGGGGAGGGTTAAATATGACGACAGGTTAACACTCCGGACATTTATTTTGAAAGTCTACTTCCTGTATCTCCTCCTCATCAGGACGAGTTTCCTGAGGTGTTGAAGTGGAGGAGGAAGCCCTCGCTCCCCGCCGTGTCCTCCTCCCTCCCTGACCTGCTGGGAAACTCCTCCCCCGGCCTCGCCGCAGACACGCCCTTCAGCACGCACACGCTCACAGGTAGGCCCGCCCACCTGTCAATCAACACTCACAGAACCTCTCCAAAGAAGACGCTGAGATTGTTTGTTCTGAATTTCACAGACAGCAGTTTGGAGACGGAGAAGATCCTGCTGACAGAACCAGTACCAGAACTGGGTCAGACGGAGTACCAGCTGCTGAAGCTCTTCATCCTGCTGTGAGTCACTGACAGGGAAACACCTGGACAGGTGCAGGTTAACGGTGGCGCCCGTTATTCCTCCAGAGTCTCCGGTATTTACTTTGTTAAAGCGGTTTACCTGTCCAGCAGAAAGGTTACAGGGTCACCAAGATCCCCAAGCGTCCCCCATGGTTTATGTTGACCCGGCTTTTTAGCTCTTGTCCGGTCTACCTCCGTTTTAAGCGCCCGTTATTCCTCCAGAGTCTCCGGTATTTACTTTGTTTTCTTGCTTGTGTCGGCAGTCGTGGCCAAAGGAGGATTCAGACAATTTTCCGAACTTTCTGGTTGGTTTCTACTGTCCGATATTGTAGCACGCTAACTTTGTTTGGGCTCCTGAACGACACGGAGGAGCAGCATTTTCTTGTTGACTGTTTTCTTGCTGACTGTTTTTTTGTTGCCTGTTTTCTTGCTGACTGTTTTCTTGTTGACTGTTTTCTTTTTGACCAGTTTGGTGATGACTGTTTTCTTGTTGACTGTTTTCTTGTTGACTGATTATGGTTGACGTTTTCTTGCTGACTGTTTTCTTGTTGACTGTTTTCTTGTTGACTGTTTTCTTTTTGACCGGTTTGGTGATGACTGTTTTCTTGTTGACTGTTTTCTTGTTGACTGTTTATGGTTGACTGTTTTCTTGTTGCCTGTTTTCTTGCTGACTGTTTTCTTGTTGACTGTTTTCTTATTGACTGTTTTCTTTTTGACTGTTATCTTGTTGACTGTTTTCTTGTTGACTGATTATGGTTGACGTTTTCTTGCTGACTGTTTTCTTGTTGACTGTTTTCTTGCTGACTGTTATCTTGTTGACTGTTTTCTTGTTGACTGATTATGGTTGACGTTTTCTTGCTGACTGTTATCTTGTTGACTGTTTTCTTGTTGACTGATTATGGTTGACTGTTTTCTTGTTGCCTGTTTTCTTGTTGACTGTTTTCTTGTTGACTGATTATGGTTGACGTTTTCTTGCTGACTGTTTTCTTGTTGACTGTTTTCTTGTTGACTGTTTTCTTATTGACTGTTTTCTTGTTGACTGTTTTCTTGTTGCCTGTTTTCTTGCTGACTGTTTTCTTGTTGACTGTTTTCTTGTTGACTGATTATGGTTGACTGTTTTGGTGTTGACTGTTATCCTGTTGACCGGTTTGGTGTTGACTGGTTTGGTGTTGACTGTTTTCTTGTTGACTGATTATGGTTGACGTTTTCTTGCTGACTGTTTTCTTGCTGACTGTTTTCTTGCTGACTGTTTTCTTGCTGACTGTTTATGTTTGAGTGTTTTCTTGCTTGTGTCGGCAGTCGTGGCCAAAGGAGGATTCAGACAATTTTCCGAACTTTCTGGTTGGTTTCTACTGTCCGATATTGTAGCACGCTAACTTTGTTTGGGCTCCTGAACGACACGGGGGAGCAGCATTTTCTTGTTGACTGTTTTCTTGTTGACTGTTTTCTTGCTGACTGTTTTTCTTGCTGACTGTTTTCCTGTTGACTGTTTTGGGGTTGACTGTTTTCTTGCTGACTGTTTTTTGCTGACTGTTTTCTTGTTGACTGTTTTCTTGTTGACTAATTATGGTTGACTGTTTTCTTGTTGACTGTTTTCTTGCTGACTGTTTTTCTTGCTGACTGTTTTCCTGTTGACTGTTTTCTTGCTGACTGTTTTTTTTGCTGACTGTTTTCTTGCTGACTATTTTCTTGTTGACTGTTTTCTTGCTGACTGTTTTCTTGCTGACTGTTTATGTTTGAGTGTTTTCTTGCTTGTGTCGGCAGTCGTGGCCAAAGGAGGATTCTGACAATTTTCCGAACTTTCTGGTTGGTTTCTACTGTCCGATATTGTAGCACGCTAACTTTGTTTGGGCTCCTGAACGACACGGGGGAGCAGCGTCTGCCTCACAACCAATCAGGTTAGAGGAGGTGGAGAACGGCTTTGTTTACAGTCAGAAAGAGCGGACCGCTCAAAAATGTTCAAATGTTGACGACACAGACAGAAGAGAACACAGAGATATCGATATATTACCAAATAATCAATAACTAATAACTATTGACTGATATTAGAAGATTTTTTGTTTATACACCACAAAATAAAAAGATGCTCCTTTAACAGACTCCTGTCTTCTCCACCTTTAATTCTATTTTGACTTGAATAATCGGTCAGTTCTGTGGATTTATTTATGAAAATAACAGATAAAAAATATAAAAACACTCAGTTGACTCTGAAGTCTGAAAGCGTCACATTAACTGTTTTTATTTTAGTGTTTTTGTCTCTAAACTCTGAAATACTTCAGTTTTATCATCAGTCTATGTCGCCCCCTGCTGGTGGTTCTCTGTACAGTCACATGATTCTAGTCTAAATTAGAGCTGATTGGTCCTTCACTGATATGATTCCTGTTATTCCAGCTGAAGGTTCTAAATCTGTTTGTAGACTCGTGTGAAGTCCTGATCCTGGATCTGATCAAACGAGGGACTTCCTGACCACAGAGGGACTCAAAGTTCCTCCTGTAAAACCTGAACTGGACTCTTTTTTTAAACCTCTCTGTCTGTCTGTCTCTCTCTGTCTGTGTCTCAGTGTCTTCCTGCTGGTCCTGTCCTCCTGTTATCTGGCCTTCAGAGTCTGTCGTCTGGAGCAGCAGCTGAGCTTCCTGAGCAGCCAGCCCACCCTGAGAGAGAGGTACGGGGACACAGACGGGCCGGGTTTGGACCTGGTATCAGGATCTCTAGCAGAGAGAGGGAGCGCAAGTTTAACATAGATCTGTATATCATAGATGACTCTCACCCTCAATCTCCACCTTCATCCTGATCGTCTCCTAAAAGGTCGTATCCTCCGATCGTAGCTGATCGTAACCATTCAAGTTAACGTGTCAAAAGGGGCGGAGACGAACAAGTGAAAGGTTTTTAGACGTCATTTCACCCCGATGACACCATGGATGAGGAGATGCTGATTCTAGAAGTCTAGAAGTAGATTTCCTCCTCTGGAAGGACACAATCTACTGCTTATATGTCTATGTGTCTGTCTTTAAGCGTCTCCGCTGAACTCCGGGTCTGTGTTCTTCTGTCTCAGGTGTGGTGAGGTGCCCTGCTGGCTGGCCAATCAGAGGACAGGAACCTGACACTGGAGCCAATCAGGGAGTGAATAAGAAGAAACCTGCACTTACATAGACTTCCCACTAGGGGGCGGCGGTGAGAGGAGACGGCTCTCAGGAGCAGACAGACCACTGTGTCAGCAGCTGAACTCTGACCCCGCAGCGACCTGGTTACCATAGAGACGTCACTATAGACAACAGAAACAGTAGAATGACCTTTGACCCCCCGAGGACTGAATGTTTGGGTGGACGCCCGGAGCTCGTGTAGAGGTCAGGAGGGACAACGACGACATGTGTGTGTGTGTGTGTGTGTGTGTGCGTGCGTGCGTGTGTGTGTGTGTGTGTGTGCGTGTGTGTGTGTACAGACCTCTTAGAGCCACATTCCTACTAACACACCTGGACCGTCGTCGTTCAGGTGTCCGTAGTTCAGGTAACTTTTTTAGCCACAGACTCTTTTGCAGTTCCAGGTGTGTCCGGTGGGCGGGGCTTGTTATTATAATGAGGAGTTAAACCTCCTGATTGGGTCTCTCCTCGATGATGTCAACAAACAGATTCATGCTTTCAGGGTCTCTGAGGTCAGTCTCAAAACTACATTACCCATAATCCTCGGCCACCATGGGACACCCACAAGACAGCAGCCTACAAATCAGAGGGGAGGTTAACGTTGAATGTTAGACTCCGCCCACTATGGTTTGGTCTGATGATGCGTTCGAGATACCTCAGAAGTCGGCGACATCTACGAAAAGTTATTTTGTCGTAAGCACTGAAGTAACTTTCGTAGTTGCCGCCATCTTGTTTCTGCCTCTGATTTTGCTTTTTTCTGACTCTGTAACTGAAACTCTGGGAACTCGGGTGTGACGTCATTTTCAGCTCCGACTTCTGAGGTAACGGGCAAAACCCACAGGGTCCAGAACGACTTCGCTCCGCTCCGACACGGCCGGCGGATCAAATCCGTGAGCGTTATAATCAATGTGAGTCATTCCACAGAATCCGTCCGTCGTTTGGCGGAAGTTTGATGTGGTTACAGAGTAAAATATTCGGGTATTTTCAAAATAAAAGACAGTCGATACATTAAACTGTTTTTAACTTGATAATCGGAGAGGTCAGGGTTGTGGGATGTTTGTGTTTATTTACATCGATCAGCTGATCTCATCCTGTGACTCCCGGGGAAACACGTGAGAGCCGGTGAGATCTTGTCTCAGTCTCGCGAGAAATATCCGTAATCTCGCAAGCGCTTCTCCTCCGATGGCGGCGGCGGCGGATCCAGAGTGGAGCTGTTCCAGAACCTGTGGGTTTAGCCGGTAACTCAAACGCAGCAATATTAACCATCACACACGGGGGTGGATTTAAAGGTGCAGTCCGTAGAACAAAGACGTTTATTTACTCGTGTTTTAAAGTGTTTTTAGAGATTTTATTTAAAAATAGTTTCAGAGAAATCGATTAAAAGCTTTTCTCTGTTTTAGAAACACGCTGACGTTTCTGATTCACTCAGATGAAAACATGTCGGTGCAGCGTTTCAGCCTGCAGAGCGAGGACCTGCAGCTTCTGTTATATAAAAGACTTTTTCTACGTCATCAGAAGTTAAATGATGACAATAATCCAGTTAATAAAAGAATTCTGCGTACTGCACCTTTAACCCCGGGCCAGTCTTCGGTCAGTCTGTCCTCTTCATGTGAACCTGAATGAAGATTTCTCTTTGTGCCAAATCTGTGAAATGACTGTAAAATACTGATGGAGTGAAGAGTCTATACTAGATGCTCTTGCAGGGCGGGAAAGATGGACGTAGATTTGAGGAGGAGGAGGAGAAGGAGAGGAGGAGGAAGAGGAGGAGGAGAAGATGTTTGAATGTTTGTGAAGATGGAGTTTATTTTTGATCTGATGATGTTTGTCTGTAAAAAAAGAAAAAACTAATAAACACTTTTTCAGATCTGGACTTGTCCTCCATCATGATCCCTAAACTGTCAGGAACACTCCCAGGTCTGACCACACGGGGGCGCCACAGCAGCAGTTTTAAACCTCCCCCCTCTGCAGGAGCGTCTGAGATCTTCATCTCAGAAAACTTCTCCACACTCAGAGGAAACTGAAACAGTCGATCTCCTGAAAGAGGAGGAGGAGGAGGAGGAGGAGGAGGAGAGGGAGGACTTCAGTCTGACCTCAATACTGCTCTGTCACCTGACTGAGTCAGAGGTCAAAGGTCAGGCTGGAAGGAGAGTGTTAAACTGTTAAGTCTCTGAGCAGGTCAAACACTGTGAGCAGGCGACTGTTTCTCTGCTGACCTCATTAGACCTCAGAGACGTCAGGAAAACCCCGTCAGAGTCCAGAAAACCAGACCTGAACGTGGTTCCATCCACGGAGGAGGAGGAGGAGGGTGCAGATCTACTGAGGACTCCTGCTGCACCTGAGACCCCAAATAAAGAAAACACAGAAGACCTCCGTCCACCTGTGAGCCGTGTCATGATGTGTTTCTGGTTCTGACTGTGTCGTTGTCGGTCAGTCACGTTTATGGATTATAGTTTCATGTTCTGATCTGGTTCTGACCCGACTCAGTCCATCATGACAGACAGACTCTCAGCACTAGAGTCTGATCAGAACTGAAAACACTCGGTCTTCTCACTTCCACCGGGACGCGTCTTTTTTCCCCCCAGGAAGTCGCAAAATCCTATCGGGCTTAATGTGTAAAGTCAGGAGCGTCAAAATCCGCCTCTGAATATTTCGTAATTTTGCGTCGTATATTTGCGTCTTTCCTGGTGTGTAAGGACCTTTAAACAGATATTCATGATAACCGATCAGCATGAAGGTGATCAGCTGGGTGACGAATGAAAACAGACGTTGTTCACTAATATTTAAAATGAAGGACAAACTGATCGTGTCGAATTATAAGAAACATTTTCTTTAAATCACCGAAACCAGAATTCCGGTGATTGAAGGCGAGTGAGTCAGGAGGTCGGATTACCTGCTAAACTGAATTTGCAGGGATTACCAGGGAAATTACCGTCGACGCGCAAATTATGCATCTAGATTCGTGGGAGTTAAGCGAGTTGATGATTTTACCTGCGCCTGGTGTGAGCGCCCCCTAGCAGCCGCTCACTCTTCTTCTGTGTAACCAGGATCCTCCATGAGATTTAAAAACTCTTCCTGTCACCGATGGCAGGACGTGGTTGATGCGTTTCTTATTGCGTTCGTTCGTTCATTCTCTCTCTCTCTCTCTCTCTCTCTCTCTCTCTCTAACTCGCCCGGGTGAGAGAGCGTAGACGTTCACCACATAGACTCTCCTGGTCAAAAACAAACAGATGTCTTTGAGTTTGAACTGAATTCAACTTTATTTTCAGTCTTTAAAGGATCTTTTTCAACGACCCGGAGAGTCCAGAGCAGAACCAGAACCTGCAGTCCTGCTGAGTCAGCAGGTTCTAACACACCTGAAGGTTCAGAGTCTGATTCTGGATCAGCTCTGAAACCGACACCACATGGTCCTCCTCCCAGTACAGACCCTGGACCAGAGTCTTGATCCAGCTGGGAGCAGTGGGACGGTTTCTCTGTCCCCCGTCCTGTTTCCTGTTCCGGTCCGGACTGAAGTTTCTTCTTCTCTTCCTGGAGTTATTTTTGCTGCTTTGTCCCTCCGTTCGTGTCACTTCCTGTCTTCTCCCGTCACCTTTCTCCCCCTCGCCGTCCGCTCGTTTCCTGTCGTTTCCTGTCGTTTCCTGTCGCTCTCTCCTTCCTTCGCTCTCTCCTGTAGTCCGACTCTTCTCTGTCTCAGTTTTTCCTCCGTTTATAAATTATCTCTCGTCCATCATCGAAGGCTAACAGATGACTCCGCCCCTCGGAGACTCCACCATATCTGGTTGGCTTGAAAACGGCCTAGGACTCATTGGCCCGCCCACCACCATAAACCCCACCCCTCCCTCGCCTCCTCCCATCACATTGTCCTCCTCGCTCCCAGCGTGCATCCTGCCCGACGCCGACAGCAGCTGCACGTCTGAGTGCGCGTTGGCGACCGTGTGGCGCCGTACGCCGCCCGTCTTCTCCAGGTAGGCCTCGCCCTCCTGCTCCACCAGCGGCGCCAGAGAGGAGGAGTCCGAGGAGGTGTGATGGTGAGTGACGGTGATCTCTGGATGAGACGGGTCACTTAGCAACAACCCCGGCGACCGGAGATGGCGAGACTCTGGAAGAAGAGAGGAAAAAGGCGTGAGACATTCGTCGAGATCCAGAAGTCGAGAAAATATCGATCAAGATTAGTCGACGTCTGAGAGTCTGAAACTCCAGACTGAATTTAGGGACGGTTTTATTCCAGGAGTTCAGAGTTTTTTAGAGTTTATGAACAATAAAAAAAAAATAATAATAATATTAATAATGATAATAATAAATAAATAAATAAAAATAGATTAAAAAAAACAAATAATAAATAAATATTAATAATAATAAAATAAAATAAAATAAAAATTATTAATAATAATGATAACACTAAAATTAATAAAAATAATATTGATAAAAATCAATACATATTAATTTAAAAAATAATTAATAAATAAAAATCAATAATAATAATAATAATAAATAGATAAATAAATTAATAATAATAATAATAATAATAATAATAATAATAATAAATACACAAATAAATAGATAAAAAAACAAATAATAAATAAATATTAATAATAATAATAATAATAATAATGTTAATAAATAAAAAATAATTTATTAATAATAATGAAAATACAATTAATAAAAATAATATTAATAATAAAAATAAAATTCAATAAATATTAATTAAAAAATAACAATCAATCAATCAATAAATAAAATTATAATAATAAATAGATAAATAAATTAATAATAATAATAAATTAATATTATTATTTATTGTTATTATTATTATTTATTAATAATAATAATAATAAAATAATATTGAAAATAATAAAAATAAATAATAATATTTATAAAATGATCAATAACAAAAATGCTGATATAATAATAATTAAATGATCATGTTTCAGTCTGTTTGGGGTCAGATTTGAGGTCCCGAGACCAGATCTCTGTGGTTTTGTGTTTTTCTTTCTCTCCTGTTTCCCTGAGCTCGTTTTAATGAGAGGATTAAAGTCTCTCTCTGTGTTTCTGCTGATCTCTCTGAATTTTTCACATATTAACTTTTTTTTTTTGTTGTTACACGGTACGACGTCAGTGTTGTTGAGTTCCTGAAGTGGCCTCCTGCAGGAGAACCTCTCAGCTGGGCTGTTTCAGAGCCGGGATTAGGACTGTAATCTGATCAGGATTTCAGGCCGTGGTGATGTGGAGGTTTCTCGGCTCTGACGGGACGTTTTAGTTTGTTTGTGAAACGAGGAGGAAAGAGTTTAGACGAATAAAGCTGCTGGGAGTGACCCCTGAAAGTGACGTCATCCTGCTGTTAGCGCCTGTCCACGCTCTTCAGAAACGAGAGTTTGACTTTTAGTTTTCAAAGTTCTTCCTGGACTTTTTTGGAGCGACCCTTCAGACAGTTTGACTTTATTCTTATCTGAGTGAACCTGCTGTAAAACACGAGTTCAGGCTCTCTGTGCTGATAGGCCGTCTGTCAGCAGGTGTGTTCTTACAGGTGTGCAGCAGTTAGTGACCTTTATCCAGCAGGGACCTGCAGCAGTGAAACCAGAGCGGCGGATTAAACGGCTCAGCTCCCTGCTGAGAGGATTTACTCGGCATTATTACTACAGAGCCACACCCCCTGACCTCTGATCCCTGACCTATGACCTTCTAAACAGACTACCTGTTGACCTCCAGTAACCCTGACCGACACTTGGTTTATCGCACCAGGAGACTCTGGAATTAACACTTCGGCCTAACCACCAATTTTCACCGCATCAGGAACGGCTCCGATCCAGCTGGACTTCCTTTCCAGCACGGGTTAATCTGTGCTGAATTTATCTGCCATGCTCCGGCGTCCAGAAAAAATAGAACTCTTGTGATCAGCTGAGGAGTCCGGCGATCCGCAGAGGAACGGAAAGAAGTCGGTGTAAATTGACCGATACGACTTTTTCGTAGCCGTTCTAGAAACGGTGGAATTTGGGGGTAACAGAGAACCCAGTTAGTCCCAAAAACTGCAGTTCCTTAAATGTCCACTTGGGACAGTCTACACACGAGTCCATTTTAAACATCTTCACGTTCAACCGTCTACAGAGAGATAACGGGCAATTATCGGCCTCAGCAGAAAACGGACTGTGGGAAACAGGACCGAACTGTGACGTTTGTACTGACCCAGAAGAAGCTGCTGTCTGTTGTGCAGGACGTTGCTGAGATACGGAGACACGATGATCTCCACCAGCCGCTCCAACTGGTAATACTCCAAACTGGGACTACCGGACTCATGGATCCCCTGAAAGAGACAAGTCCAGGTTCACAGATTTACAAAAGAGCAAAGATTTAAGGAGACGGGTCTCTGCTGGAGTTTCGTTGGTCTGAGTCCAGAAACCTGTCCGCTATTGTCTGAAGACCGTAGATCCTCTGAGAGTCTGGGAAACGAAGTAGAGAGCTAGAGAGGAGGATGCAGCATCTATGATTTCCAGTTCCTTGTTGAACAGACAACTGGACTAACTTGAGACGTTTCGCCAAAGGAAGCTGCTGTCTGTTAGGCAGGACGTCGGAGACACTACGAACCTTAGACGTTGTTTCCTTCGGTGAAACGTCTCCAGTAAATCCAGTTGTCCTTTCTGAACAAATGTCAGATTTGGATCCATCAGTTTTCTTCTTAGAGTTTAATCCAAATCCAAGTGTTTACATTAATCTGGATTAACTGTTTTATAACCTGTCGTGCTCCTTAATCTGAGGAATGATCCTAATGAGTTCAAACGTATGATCATTTACTAATTAAAGGGCCAATACGTGACTCTAATGTGTTATTCCTAGACGTCTGTGTTTACCTGCAGCACCAGCAGCATCTGTGTGACAGGTGGAGGGACGGAGGCTGCAGTTCCCAGAGTCTCCTCCAGGTGGAGCTTCAGCAGCACCAGGTCTCTGAAGGCCAACAGAGCCATCTGTCTCACTGTGAGCTCCTGACCCTGAAAACACACACACACACACACACACACACACACACAGTTTAATCCACTCAGATGATCTCTAATTGACTGATCAGTGTCATGAGCTCCTTCAGACACACGCACACAGTTACACAAACGCACACTTGTGTTTCAGGTAAAAATACTCTGAAGTTGAACGTTAGCGACCATGCTAACTCTCTGAAACATTAGCGACCATACTAATTCTCTGAAACATTAGTGACCATGCTAATTCTCTGAAACATTAGCGATCATGCTAATTCTCTGAAACATTAGCGACCATGCTAATTCTCTGAAACATTAGCGATCATGCTAATTTTCTGAAACATTAGCGATCATGCTAATTTTCTGAAACATAAGTGATCATGCTAATTCTCTGAAACATTAGCGATCATGCTAATTTTCTGAAACATTAGCGATCATGCTAATTTTCTGAAAAATTAGTGATCATGCTAATTCTCTGAAACATTAGCAACCATGCTAATTTTCTGACACATTAGCCACCATGCTAATTCTCCGAAACATTAGCGACCATGCTAATTTTCTGACACATTAGCGACCATGCTAATTCTCTGAAACATTAGCGATCATGCTAATTTTCTGACACATTAGCGATCATGCTAATTTTCTGAAAAATTAGTGATCATGCTAATTCTCTGAAACATTAGCAACCATGCTAATTTTCTGACACATTAGCCACCATGCTAATTCTCCGAAACATTAGCGATCATACTAATTTTCTGACACATGCTAATGTGTCAGAAAATTAGTATGATCGCTATGACATGCTAATTCTCTGAAACATTAGCGACCATGCTAATTCTCTGAAACATTAGCGATCATGCTAATTCTCTGAAAAATTAGTGATCATGCTAATTCTCTGAAACATTAGCGATCATGCTAATTTTCTGAAACATTAGCGATCATGCTAATTTTCTGAAACATTAGCGATCATGCTAATTTTCTGAAACATTAGCGATCATGCTAATTCTCTGAAACATTAGCTATCATGCTAATTTTCTGAAACATTAGCGATCATGCTAATTTTCTGAAACATTAGTGATCATGCTAATTCTCTGAAACATTAGCGATCATGCTAATTTTCTGAAACATTAGCGATCATGCTAATTCTCTGAAACATTAGCGATCATGCTAATTCTCTGAAACATTAGCGACCATGCTAATTCTCTGAAACATTAGCGATCATGCTAATTCTCTGAAACATTAGCGATCATGCTAATTTTCTGACACATTAGCGATCATGCTAACTCTCTGACGTGATCTTGTTTATCGTGATCAGAGTTTTGTCAGGGTGAGGGTACCTGGACTGGGTAGAAGATGGCCTGCAGAGTGGGGAGGGTCTCCGTGAAGAATCTCACCCACATGTCGGCGAGGACGGCGAGCTGGTCGTCACCTGCAGCCGGTTACCGTGGAAACCCATCACAAACACAGGAAATTAGCTCATTACACGTCGGCTTAATGTTTCTGTTGTTGCAGTGTTTGTGGAGACAGACTAACGCGGCGCGGACTTCTGTGTGTGTGTGTGTGTGTGTGTGTGTGTGTGTGTGTGTGTGTGTGTGTGTGTGTGTGTAATGACATTAGACCGAGCCTTATTGATTCCTGCAGCTATAAACAGAAACACACAAACATGGAGGCTGAGGGCGCAGGTCACATGATACAACGAACCAACGAGCAACGACACACAAGTCCTGAGAACACTTTTCAACACTACTGACCCAGATCCCAAAACCAGGTTCAGGACCACCCCCCCTGCATGTATACTCAGCAAACTCACCAGAATGAAGGAGGACCTGATCCAGGACTTCAGACAGACCTCGGGTCAGCAGCTGGTTCTGAAACACAAAAATAACGTTTGATTATCAGGTTACAGGTTTTTTTTCTTACCTCAGTCTAATTAAAAAATTAAAGTCATGGTTGACGATCGGAGAGATTGGTGATTATTATAAACCTCGTTTCTATGGCGATCATGGTCCTATAGTTCGATCTCCACAAAGTGAAGAGAAAAATGATCAGGTGCAGGGCTGCAAAAACATTGACCAATGGGAGCCATCCGCCCCGGACGCCATATTTTTTTTTTGTAGGATGGTAGGAGAAGGTCCCGCCTCCTTCACCTTTGATTGACTGGAAAAGATGGAAACCTCATCACACGCCCGAGCCAAACGCGGGCTGTCGGCTCTGAACATCGAACTGAACATTATCGTGATTCTGAATCTCCGAACCCGACAGATGATGACGTTTCGCAGCCATGAGGAATAACAATGGCTGTGTGTGTGTGTGTGTGTGTGTGTGTGTGTGTGTGTGTGTGTGTGTGTGTGTGTGTGTGTGTGTGTGTGTTTTTCAAATCTGTCTCAACAGACTGCAGATCTGAGATACAGATTAACGGGCTGAACCTCCTGCTGAGCCGCTCCTCTCCTCTCTATCAGATAAATAAAACGAGGAGGAGAAGGAGGAGGAGGAGGAGGAGGACGCCAGCTTAGATTAATGAGCCGGTTAAAACTGATAATCCCACAGAGAGGAGAGTCGTCCACTCAGATCCAGGTGAAGGTTTACTGAGAGTCAGAGAGAGGGCTTCATATGAGAGCAGATCTGACTTCATACATCTGTAATTTCTGACGCTTTGAGTTTAACTTTTACAGAAATCTACGTCTGAAAGTCGAGGAGGACCTGGAAGTAGTCGGTGATGAAGGAGCCCATCTCTGTCTTCAGGAGCCACCTGCAGAGACACAAAGAGGACACTGATGTCACTTCCTCTCCGAGATCTAAAACAACGTTTCTGCAGTCAGAGAAGAAGAACCGCGGGGTCACCTGATGCTCTCGTTAAGCGTGTACAGCTCGTTGGCCTGCAGCGCTCCGCCTTGAAACACCTTGATCACAGCTGATTGGACACTGAGGGCACAAAGGGAACACGGGAAGGTCAGAGGTCAGCGAGTCATGTGAGACACGAGTCTGAGAGTTGGAGGAGCGTCACGTCAGCTGATAGAAAAATCCTCTCTGTCACTCCTCAGACTCGTCCTTCAGCTCCTGCAGCTTCCTCACAAACAGCCTGGAAGTCATTTTCACGTGCAGTGTGTCTGTGTGTGCACGTGTGTGTGTGTGTGTGTGTGTGTGTGTAAGGGTCCTCGTCTCAGACTCAGCTGGTCGGCAGGACGTGAACCGGCTGCCACCTCCGCTTCCTCCTAAACATCCTGCAGAGAGCAGGAAACAGGCCGAGCTCTCAGAGGAGCTCCGAGTTTTCACAGACAGAAGAGCGAACGACACGCAGACGGAGGACGAGCTGAACAGAACCGAGCTGAACAGAACCGAGCCGCACAAGGACACACAGCCGGCTCAGGAATAACTTCATCCTTTCATGTCTGACGCTCTTTCTTTTGAAGGTCGACCTTCAGATCTCAGTTTGACGACCTGATCGGATCGATACCTGGACCACCCTGAAGCTGCTCTGTCTTTACTGTCCCTCTGAAATCTCTGACTGCAGCTCTATAGATCCAAAATAAACAGATTCACTCTGACTGAGTAAAGAGGCTGAATTTGTCAGGTCTGTCTGTCCAATCATCTGAAACATGTCAGGTTGTCCCCGCCCCCTCCTGGTCCAGATCTGAAGGGATATGCCGTCGTAAAATTAAGTCAGGGTCAAACACACTGTAACACCAGTCCATTACAGACTACAGCGGGGTGCCGCAGCTCAAGGAAGAACATTTATGATCATTTCTTCATGGAAATACAATCAGACCGAGACGCTAAGACAGAAGAACTACCGCGTCTGTAAAATGATTATGATCATAAATGTTCTTCCTTGAGCTGCGGCACCCCGCTGTAGTCTGTAATGGACTGGCCTGAGGTCTCTCTACAAACAAGCGTCTGCTGGAAGAGAGTAGGTGAGTTAAAAGATGTTTGGTGTCTAGTACTATGTCTGTGACCCTATATGTCCTGTTGATGAAGTTAGGTGCTGTTCTGAGCATTATTTGTGGCTATAGAGTGGCGTTTTGGTTGGGGGCGTGGCTCTCTGTATTACTATCCTGCGGTCGTTACTAAAGTTGGTATAACTAGAGAAGCAAGCGGTCGACAACATTCATCTCTGGAGGGGGGGTCTAACTCGGGGTTACGGTGGGTTTGACCCTGACCTCCAACAGAACCTTATCATCCTTTTATAAGGTCTGGAAAACATGAGTCAGCACTTTTTATTTTCTTTAAGCTCATGTTTGGACTAAAAACACACACACACACACACACACACACACACACGAATATAAACCCAGATAATATCTGTGTTTCCTGTTTTGGAATCAAAGAGTCAGACAGATTATATCTGAACTCTGAATCTTCACTGAACATCATCACAAGAGCTCAGAGACGAAGACAGCAGGGGAGTAAGAAAAACTGCAGTTCCTCCAGTGGCCACTAAAGGCCATCTCTGAAAGTGAGTCAGTCCCCTTAGAGCCCCATGTTAAAATGTCACAGCAGAAATAAACACATTCACAGCCTAAAACAGGATCAGGTGTTCTGAGTGCAGAGATGATTAATTTACATTTTTATAACCGGGGCCTGAAATAAAAAAAATAATTACCTCTAAAATAATAGATGATAATATTAAACAACACACTAAAATAATAAAAGAATATATAATGTAAAATAAAATACTAAAATTATAAAATGATATAAAATAACATTAAAATACTTATATGATAAAATAATATAAAATAACATTTGTATAATAAAATAATATATAATAAAAATTAACAAACTAAAATAATATATAATATAAATAATTGATAAATAATATAATATAAATAATTCCCTATTTATCAGAAAACAGGCGATTCAAAGAAAAAGGACTTTTTGAAATGACACGACCTGCCTACATAGAGACTGAACATACTGTTAAATCCCTAATCACCAAATATGGTCATGTCTTCCTCTTTTTCTAAGGTGTCAAATTTCAGGCTTCAAAATAAAAGTCCACCAACGATCAGTGATATTATAGTTTCTACTGTTCAGCTTCTCGTTCCTCACGTTTTGGTTATGTTTGTGTCTATTATTAGTTTGTCCTCCTGGTTATTTGTGAAAATCTGCAGTTCGAAACAACAAAACTTTCACCATCGAAGTTCAGACTCGGTTATATAAACGTCTGTAAAGCTTCGCTGTAATTTTCTCAAATCCAGAAAAGCCTCTTTTCATTCTTGAAGGAAGTTAATGTGACCTCCTTCAGGAGTGAAATCAAGCTAATCCAGACCAATAAAGGACAAATCCACAGATCAATGTTCAGCATCTGACATGTCTGGATCTCCTCTGTGATCCAGTTCATGGTCTGGACTTCAAAACAGATAATGAGGTCCATGAGGTCTTTCCTGGTCCTGGTTCCTGATCAGCTGAAACCTCACAGTCTGAGCAGGTTTGATTCAGGGACGTTTTTTGATCTGCTGACCTGTTCCACACGCTGGTGTTGGAGATCTGCAGAGAAGGGGAGCTGGCGTGGAAACGGGCGAGGTCCGACAAAACCGGGGAGCTCATAAACCGAGGCCGGGGTCGCCGGAAAGATCCCATCATGCACCCTGGCTGCTGAAAAGAGAGGACAAAACAGAACCTCTAAGATAAACTCCGACTAAAGAAACAAAACGAAGGATAAAAAAAAAGAAAACTCAAAGCTAGGTGATAAAAAAGTGGGTTTGAAAAGGTTCAGGTGATCAGTGACCTGACAGTTTCCTGTCATCTGCCTGTCTTGATCTTTTTTTTCTATCTCTCCAATCTAACCTTTGTTTTATTTTATCTCCAATCTTATTTTAGCTTTGAATGTAACTTTTAATCTGTTAAATGTCTTTTACGCAGTCGTGATAGTTCAGTTGTTGAATGTTTTGCCTGCTTGTTTCATGTAAAGCACCTTGAATTGCCCTGCTGCTGAAATGTGCTATACAAATAAACTTGACTTGACTTGACTTGACTTAAAACCTGTAAGTTTGGACTCTCTCTTTAACGGTCTCTTCAGTCAGTGGGATTTATCCTCTGAGGAAAATGAATATGATTATGTACTAAAGGACCCCTCTGAAGAAGGCCGGAGTCCTCCTCTGGGGAGCATCACTGTCAACACCACAAATCAGCTGACTGTTATAAGACCGTTAAAGAGAAACTGTCTGAGGATTTATCATCTGAGGAATATGAACATGAAGACAAAACGAAGTGTGAATCCATCTCAAAGATGATATTTAATCAAACGACTCAAACTCTGATGTGACCGAAAAGATAAGAGATCTTAAAACTGGGAGGTTTTCATCCTCTGGGGACCCTGAATGTGTCGAAGGAGTCTCATGAAAAATACAGAGAGTGATGCCGGAGGGAAAGACGTGGACACATGAGAGAGAGACGGAAATACAGCCTGATGATCTGATTTTGTATTAGAGCAGAAGTCCCGATGCGAGGGTTCATCCTCTGGGTACCACGAACATCTGACTAGAATCTGATGGACATAAAACATCCTGATCAAACGTTGAAATCCCAAATATGAGGTGACGTAAAAATAAAGAGGAGAACAAACATTTGGATGAAACCTCTGAGGAGCATGAACGTGTGTGGGAACATCAGCTGACCGTCACACACAGAGAACCTGTTTTATGACGGGGTCATCCTCTGAGGAGCCTGAATGTTGATGAGAGTCAGAGTGTCGCCGTTGACACAGATCATCAGTTCAGAGTTCCTGGCAGCAGGTTATGAAGCAGCTTTTACTTCCTGTTCGCTTCAGCAGCTCCTGATTCATTTAGAAACACGAAAACGCCGCCGTCCTCCAAACCACGACTTCCCGTGGAGCCGCGCCGACCCGAGATCAGTGTTTGTTTACGGCGCAGAGGTCTCACTCTGTCACGCTTTCCAGAAACCACAGACACAGACAGCCCTGACTGACAGCTTTCACACTCTGGTGTCACCGAGGACGGCGGCGGCGTCTTTCTGAGCACTGACATCAGAGTTTCTCTGAAGTCAACGCCGTTTATAGTCTTCAGAGTTTGTGGGGGTTTTGTTTTCTCTAAAAGCAGCTCGCTCGGTCGCTCGGTCGCGTGTTTAATTCTGACTCTGTGGGAAACTCTCAGTTTCTGTGAGTGACTCAGAAACGGTCGGTGCTTCTCGGAGCTCTTCAGACGAGAGTTTGTCTGAATCTACAGACACGTGGAAACGTCTGCGGCGGTTTCAGAGGCAGGAGTGACTCAACTCTAATTGTACGTTCAAGTTTATAAAAGTCAGGTTCGGTGTCTGGATCATGTTTCCATTTTGCACCAATGTTCAGTCCGAACCAGAGGACGACACTACGGGACTTTGTAGTGAAGTAAACACACTCACCCTACTTCTGTTTTCACACACACAACTTCATGCAACAAGTTCACACCTTCACTGAGGTTCAGCCACAAACTCGCAGATCGAGAGGAGATCTCTTCACGCTCTGAGCTGCTGCAGTTTTCATGTTTGATCACCTGGTCGCTCCTCCTGGTTCTTCTTATCTCGCTTGTGTGCAGCTCGGTTTATTTTTAGTCAACTGTAGTGTGAGTGTGTGTGTCTCACTTCTTTGACATGTGACGTCTGTTTGTGTCGATTATCTTTGAAAAACTCGAGCGGGTCTGAAACATCTGAAGGAGCAGAACAGGTCAGGCTGTCTGACTGCTGCACGGTAAATCGATTTTACATCCTAATCGGATTATTTGATCATGATGTTAAAAAATTTAAATCATCAAATCATTTTTCCTCTCTATCATGTCTCACACCTCCAGGCCACCGTAGGCTCCTCAGTTCAAACATGGCGTTTGCAAAAGAAGGTGATAATTTCGTGGTTAACTAGGACAAGAGTACGGCCAATCATACGACCCATATGGATTTTTTGGGGCCGATGGCGATACTGATTATTAGGGGGGGAAGAAATGAGATAACCAATTAATCATCTGATTTTTTAAATTTTTTATGAAGTTATAAAAAATATTTATATACTGCAGATAAACTGTAAGCTACTACTCTTGACAGGAAGACCGACTGATCAAACTCAGACCAGAAAGGTGTTTTCAACCCCGCCGATCAGTGTCTCCTCGTCTCATCTGGAGACGTGCAGCTGCCTCAGTCAGAGAAGTATCTCGATCTCTAATGTGTTCTGTTGTTTATTCTACTGTTACTGACACGGCTAACAGTGTAGCTAACAGGCTAATAGCAGGTGGCTAACTCTAACTTTAGCTTCATATCCCATGGTGCTTCAGCGTTAAGTGGGCGTGACCGAGACCAGCCCAGCGGGGAACATGGTGAAGTGGGTTGAACTGAAACTTGTTGACTTATTGTGTTTTTCACAAACTGGTTTATTTCCCGTTGAGGCGGACCACTCTCCTCCGTGTCCCTGAGCTGCTGCTTCAGATCCGTCACTCTGCTGTGAGGGAGTTAGTGGATGAAGATCGGCATGAGGTCGCTGTAGCGCCATCTACAGGAGAAGTCAGGGAACTTTTCAAATGGAGGAACATTTTCAAAGTGAAACCGAATTTTATTCTCCAAATTTTATTTCTGAAAATATCGGCGAAATTCGGCAAGTTTTGGCCGATTACCGATTTGTCTCAAATGGGCTAAAATTGGCTGATTTAATCGACTCTTGACTCGGGCCCTAGTCAAGAGCGAGTCAGTCGTGTTGAATTGGTACGACTTCACAGTCTCAGATGAAGAGTAAACCACTCCCCGCTGTAAGGTCTGTCTGAAGGCGGTATCGACCCGTCACCATGGAAACAAACTCAGGAGGAAACGCTAAAGTTTCAGGTGACTGTAAACGGTACTTTTTAAAAACGGGTCAGAAAGTGAATAAATCTGTAAACGACGACCATCTCATCTCCGTGTGGATGTCTATCTGCATCTCTGGAAACGATCATGTGACACACAGAGGAACTCTTTTATGGCGCCAAAACAACCTTCTGTACTCTTCCTCTGTTTTATGCGTATTTCCTGTACAGCGTTACAGCGCCACTTACTGGCTTGGCATATGAACTACATCGTTTTTCGGGAGATGATAGAAAAACTTTGATTTCAGCAAAGTTTGGTGAAGTTGTCACTGAATCAAAAATCGTAAATCGAGTTTTGAAGAAACCTGGACTGCAGGTGACCTGAAGGTGACAGCTGGGATAGTTTTCAGTCCCCCTCGTACCCGCAGCATCAAGAGTCGGGTCGTGAGGTCCTCCGAGATTCTGCTTACTGTCCTGAACAGTCTGAAGACTCTGCATGGTGGGAAATAAGGTCTGAATCAGCCAATCAGATGGCAGCATTTTTCTAACAGGGTGTAGTATGACAGGAAAACATCCACAGAGCGAACACACACATGAATCAAAGAGCCGCTCCCATCCCCGGCCGGGTCTCTGCCCAGGTGGCTGATGGGATCTCACAGCCCAGTGTGTGTCCGCCGCCTCTCGCTGTGCCGTCTCCTCTGATCACGGCCAATGAGAGGCCCCGTGCTGACCGTCAACACAAACACACTATTGTTTGTTCGGCTTTGGTCTGCCAAAACTCGAGGAGGTCAATAAATACTGATCTGAGTCTGAGGGACCGGGAACGAGGAGGAGAACTGGGTCTGACCCGAGTCCTGGAACCGTCTGAGTGACTCTAAGAAACACGGGACCGTCTTTTTACTGCATCAGCAGATTTTATCACTGATGATGGAGGAAATGAGCGAACACAGAGTGTTTTATTTTGAAAAGATGTTTTATTTTGTGTCTGTGCCCGACTTCCTTTCCAGCACGGGTTACTCTGTGCTGAATTTATCCGCCAAGTGAAAGGTTTTTAGACGTCATTTCACCCCGATGACACCATGGATGAGGAGATGCTGATTCTAGAAGTCTAGAAGTAGATTTCCTCCTCTGGAAGGACACAATCTACTGCTTATATGTCTATGTGTCTGTCTTTAGAGAGACAACTCGTTATCGTGTGATTGATCGTGAATCTGCAGGTTCTTGTGAGTTCTCACGATTCCTGCGTCTGTAATCCACCATGAAATTCGCCTCACAAACGGATCCGGTTGGAATTGGCGGACAGCGAAAACTGCCACCATTCCGGAAAAACCGTCCTCAGGTCTGATGGATCAGAATCCGACATTCGTTTGGAAGAGACAACTGGACTTCGTTGAGACGTTTCGCCGAAGGTGGATAAATGTCTCTATAACGTGTGAGTCGTGGAGAAGGTTCAGAGACATCAGAGAAACAGCAAAGGAACAATCAGCAGAAGAACAGAAGACGGCCTGTCACCATGATGAGTGTGTGTGTGTGTGTGTGTGTGTGTGTGTGTGTGTGTGTGTGTGTGTGTGTGTGTGTGTGTGCGTCAAGGACAGCAGGTTGTGTGTGGGAGCAGGACCATGTGTGCACAGTTCAACACATGTTGCAGCGTTCACACACACACACACACACACACACACTCTTGGAACAGTTTTGGTGAAACTTCTCAAACGTCTGATCCAAAGAGGTTCTACGTCTGAGAGGATGACTCACTCTGAGAGGGAAAAAAACACACACCATCTCACCTTCTGCTCTGCAAAGATGGACGTCAGTGTGTGTGTGTGT